TGTGTGTGTATGTATGTATATGTGTGTATGTGTGTGCGTGCGTGTGTGAACGCACCAGGTCCCAGGGGAACTGCTCGCGAAGGGCGTTGATTTGGTTGATGACGTTGCGCTTGTGATAGCCCTGATGCGAAAGAAGGGAGAGAGGCGCCCAAGGACACGTTGAGAACACAGCAATCAAGGAGCATGCAGGCAACAGCGAAACAGGGGGACAACACAACATGCAGACGCACACAATGCACACAACAACAACAACAACAACAACAACAACAACAACAACAACAACTTAAACAACAACAACAACAACAACAACAACAACAACAACAACAACAACAACAACAACAACAACAACAACAACAACAACAACAACAACAACTGAACAACAACAACAACAACAACAACAACAACAACAACAACAACAACAACAACAACAACTTAAACAACAACAACGCCGCCAGCGCACCGTGACGGGGACGGCGCCGTTTGCGGTGAAATCGTTCTGGCAGTCGACCACGATGAGGGCGTGGCGTCGCGTCTCGTAACTGTTCTTGCGCTGGATCAGCGACATGCGGCTCAGCCGGCAGAATGTCGCCAGCGTCTCGTACGGAATGTCATCATCCTGTCGTCGACAGGGATGTGTGTGTGTGTGTGAGAGTGTGAGTGCTTGAGGGTGTGATGGGCAATCGTGTACGCACACACACAAAAGGGTGAATATTGCAGCAGCAGCAGAGCAGCCAATGGTGTCGCGTATCATCACCACCACCGCCACCACCATCATCATCACGTACGCCATCCGGGTCGAGTTCCGCGGCCACGACCTGCGACGCCTTCAGCACCGTGTTCTTCAGCTCCTGTTGTTGGCACGCACAGACACAGACACACACATGCACGCACACACACATGTGGGTTCAAAGGACAGTGGTGTCAAGGTTGAACATCGAAAACACACACACACACACACACAAACACACACACACACACACACACTGCCGGCAGCTGTTGCGCACCTCTGTTGGGTTGAGGGCGTTGTTGAAGACGAGGTCCTGAAGAATAAAAGCGGCGGTCTCACGATTGACGCTTCGCTGCTCCATCACCTCATACAGCTCAAAGATCGACACCATCTCAGAGTAGTCCTCAATGTAGTTTCCGCTCGGGCTGTCGCTGTTGACCCGACGCATGATGGTGTCCCACCGGTCCACGTTGCGGTCGTGGTATGTGCTCGGGTATCTGGTGGGGATAAAAGGCGAATGAATACAGGGCAGATGTGCGGATGCATGCTGACAGGTAACGCATTCACACATGTACACATGCACGTGCACAGACACATGTGCATGCCACGAGCGTACCCTGGAACGTGCTTCTTGGCTTCGTGCTTTGTGGGAGAGACACCGCCTTCGCTGTCGCGCTTTGCCTTGTCTGGCGCATCGTACACCAGCGTCACCTGCAGTGGCGATGGAGGCCAGCACGGCAGTGTGGGCGAAGAGGACGAGCAAGCAAGCAGGGCATGCTGTGATTGCACGCACACACACAGACTTAGACACACACACAGACACATAGACACACACAGACACATAGACACACACTTACAGACACACGCACACGCACGCGCGCGCGAGTACGTGCACGCGCACCTTGTAGAATTCGTTTGGACGGCCACCGCAGTCCTCCCCAGGTGTTCCTGTGCGCCACTTCTTGCTGTAGACGCCAATGCGACGCAGCTTGTACTCGATGCTGATAATCGTCGTCGCCCACTGCGTGGTGGCAGTTGTTGTTGTTGTTGTTGTTGTTGTTGCAGTGGTGGTTGGTGATGATGATGAAGCAGGTAAGGGGGTTGGTTTGTTTTTGAGCGCGGAGACGCGGAACTGACATGTACAGACACACACACAGACACATACACAGACACACACAGAGACACACACGTACGCACACAGACACAGACAAGCAAACATGGAGGCAGAGACGAATCACAGCACCTGCATGGTGGAAAGGGTGGTTGCTTCCGCGTCGTAGGTTTGGAAGGTCGATGTCATGAGAGCAATGAGGATGTTGAACAGGACAGTGGACTGTTGCGGTTGAGGGGGGAAATGCACGCAGCAGTTGCCGGGGTCGTGTGAAGAGCTGGGGTGAGGGACTGAAGACAAGCAGCAGATATGGTACTCGAGTGCACACACATGCACACAGATGGGAACACGATCACACCAACACACAGACGCAGACACAGACACACACACACACACAAACAAACCAACACACACACGCACACACAGACAGACACATACACACACACAGAGACGGGTGCATTTTCGTGGGTGCAAACATACGGAGAGGATGACGAATCCGATGAAGAGGATGTAGGATGCGGGCTGCGAAATAGAGACCTCAACCTCATTGGAGGTGAAGTTGAACTGGCGCCGCGAGCAAGGCAGGACAAGCAGCGTGGGTAAGGGTGTGAGGGTGTGTGAGGGTGTTATGTGTGCGTGCATGCGAATGTGTGTGTACAAAGTGAGGTGTGGAGCAATGAATACATCACACGCAGGCGCGTTGTGAAATTGTCTTGTGGAAAAGCAGCAAGGTGGGTGTGAGCGGAAACGGTATCACGCATATAACGAAAGAAGTACAAGGAAGAGAAATATGTAGCAGCAAGAGACGCGACAGCAGTCGCAGGAGTGAGAGCAGCAACATGACGACAATGGTCGCACCTCGCCCATGGTCCACTTGACAAGGGTGAACATGCCAATCCACATCGTCTCGAGGTCAATCGGGCCTGGTGCGAGCAGCACACATGTAAAGGGAGAGGTGGGGGTTGAGTCAGGTGTGGTGGTGGAAGTGGTTGGGGGGGGGTGTGTGAGAGCATCAACGACGCGAGTACACACACCAAAGCGAGAGCACAGAACAACACAGAACAGCAACGCGAGCGCACAGAACAGTACAGAGCGACATGCGTGCCGACCAGTGTGCGGGTCGTGGTTGTTGAAGAGGAGCTGGAAGCCGAGGGCGAAGCCAACGAGCTCCACCGCAAACACAATCGTCCTGACGTGGTGGTGATGATCATGGTGTTGGAGTGAATGTGAGATGCGAGTGCATCAAGCACAGAGGAGCATCGCACACACACACACACACAGACAGACAGCACACACATGGATGTCACAAATAGACAGTCATCACCACTTGCGTGTACGCACCAGAACCGCATGTCGATGACCATGCGTTCGGTCATGAGAATGAACTTGGAGAATGCGCGCACACCACGGGCGAAATGCAGCAGATACAGCATGCCAAGCACTGGCCGTGGACAGGTCGATGTGATGGTGGTGGTGGCGGCGGCGGTGGTGGTGAGGGCAAGGCGCATGTGCAGCAACGATGTCGTCAGGGCGGCAGGGTGGCAACATGGGAGACGGATGCACACACACACACACACACACACACACACACACACACACGCACACACACACACGCACACACACACACACGCACGCACACACACACACACGCACACGCACACACACGGGACTGCACCTGCGAGGAAGCTGAGGAAGGTTCGCTGGACGTTCGCTTGGGCATCGCTGACGCGGAGAACAATGCAGATGACCAGCATGGCGCGGAACAGCCAGTTGCTCATCACAAACACAAACGACCCGGCATACAGCTGGCTCGGGCGTATGCCGTGACGCACGTAGCGCACAAGCTCTGTGCACAACAAAGGAAAAGACAAAGGGGAGAGGGGTGAGGAGGGCGTGGTGATCAGCACAAGGATGTGGGACAGCAGAGTGCAGGTTGATGGATGGTGTGTGTGTGTGTGCGTTGGGGGAGGGGACAGACAGGGACACACACAGACACAGGCACAGACACAGACACACAGACACAGACACAGGCACACAGGCACACAGACACACAGACACACACAAAGCAAATGCACCTGGGATTTCGAAGGCGACGGTGTCGACGGTGACCCAGAAGACGACGATGATTTCGAGGAGGAGGCGGGCGAGATCCTGCGTGGACGAGTACGAGTTGGGCTCCTGGGTCAGGTACAGCGCTGTGGTGGTGATGGTGGTGATGGTGGTGAGATGGGACGTGAACAAGGCGGCCTTGGCAGCGCACAAAGGCAGCAGAGGGCGTTCATTACAGGAGGGCAGTGCCAGCGGGCGCGTGCTTTCAGGCGGTGGAACGAACCGGCAATGAGGCAGGCGATGACGACCATGTAGATCATGATGAAACAGCCAAAGGCAAACTTGGCAAACCGGGACCATTTCTCCGCCAGCATGTCGCTGGACACAACAACACCGCAGGGTATTGGATGAGGGATTGATGGATTGAAGGGTGAGATACGAGGGGTAGAGGGCTTGCAGATGTTTCATGCTGCCTTGAGTTGTCCACGGCTTGTCACGAAATGGCACACACACACACACACACACACACACACACACACACACACACACACACACACACACACACACACACACACACACACACACACGGACACGAGGTGCTTACTGGAGCGGCGGGAGCTTGAGAAGGGTTGCGTGCTCGAGAGACCCATGCTGCACGAGAATGTCGAGAACACCTTCCTTCTCCACACTGTCGAGCTCCTTCAGCGGGTACAGGTACTCTGCGCATCCAACAAACGGAGGTGGGAGAGGGATATGAAGTTGAGTTGGAACAAAGTGCACTTGAGAGAGCGCTGAGATGCACACACACACACACACACAAACTCGCACGCACGTACGCACACACACACACACAAACTCGCACGCACGTACGCACACACACACACACACACAAACACGCATACATGCGCAGACACACACACACAAACACGCATACATGCACAGACACACACAGACACAGACACGCACGCATGCACGCGCACACACACATGCAGACAGACAGACAGACAGACACACTACGGCACCTTTGATGGGTCCGAAAGCCCAGTTGAGTTCGCGGTTGCGGTGGAGGATGTGCTTGAACATGGTGGCGCTGGCAAGACTGGCAGCCAGCTTCAGTGGCGTCAGCCCGTCGTTGTTGCGCGCAACCTGGCGCAAGTCATAATAGGAGAGGGGGATGAAGCAAAGGGTGAGAGTACGCAGGGTGTGGGAGGGGGTGAGAACATATTCGCGGTGTTTGTTGTGCGCACAGGTTTCTTCAGGCGAGGGGAATTCTGAAATGGCACCATGGCGATGACATCAACATCAACATCAGCGTCAGCGCACCCTCAGCTTGCCCTCGAAGGCCTGGTCGCGGCTGGCAACAAGGTCGTACATGGCCTGGTCCTCATACACCACGCACAAGTGCAGCGCCGTGTTGCCGTACGAATCCTGTCGTGATTGGGGGGGGGTTTGAAGTGTTGAGACGCCGAATGCAGGGGTATTGTGAATGGCATTGTACGACACACACACACACGCGCGCGCGCACGCACACACACACACACACACACACACACACACACACACACACACACACACACACACACACACACACACACACACACACACACCGGGAGGGAGGCGTCTGCGTTGTGGTTGAGGAGGTACTCGGCCATGCGTAGATCGCCGGAGCAGACGGCAAAGTGCAGCGGCGTGCTGCCAAAGTACAGGCCCTTGTCCACAGAGATCTCTTGGTCAAAGAACGTGCCTGCAGGCAAGGCAAAGGAAAATGCGTGCACGTATGGGGCGGCGAACACGAGTCGTAAGTGAAGAAACAGCACGCGCAATGCCCGACCATCGCCACGATGATGACGTACATGACAGACAAGCACAACCAGACACACAGACAAGCACAACCAGACACACAGACACAAACACACAAACACATATACACAAGCACAAACAGACACAAACAGGCACAACCACAGCGCGGGGCAGTGGGTGCACCTGTGGTGTGGGCGTTGATGTCGGCGCCGTACTGCACGAGCATCTTGGCCAGTTCATATTGGCGCTTGACGATGGCCAGGTGCAGGGCGGTCTCTCCTTCGTAGGGGGAGGGTGGGGTGGACTCGTAGGGCTGGCGCACAAGCTTGGCGCCGTAGCTGCACAGACACCATGTGAATTGTATGTTGTGTTGTGTGCGTGTGTTGCGTGTGTTGTGCGTCACGTGTCGTGCATATTGTGTGTGCGTGTTTTGTGAGATGGGAACAGGTGAACAAGGAAGGCTAAAGGCGGCATGTAATGCACATGCGCCATCCAACACAGCGCGACACCCGACACCGCTGTTGGTGGGGTCGACTCACGTCTTGATGAGGTACTTGGCGACATCGAGGGATTCGCAGAGGATGGTCACGTGCAGCACCGTCGCGCCAACGGGGTCGCGGTTGTTCACGTAGAAGTCAACCTGCCCCGGGGGACGGCAATGAGAGGGGAGGGGAAGACGTGTGTGGCGTGTCGTGAGCGAGGGAAACGTCAGCGGAATAAGGTTCACGGTGGCAACCAACCCAACCACACTCAATCGTATGCAGGCACACACATAGAGAGAGGGAGAGAGATACCGGCACAGACAGACAGACAGACAGACAGACACACACACACACACACACACACACACACAAGACACAAACAAACACACAGATACAAACACACGCACACACGCACGCACGTGCAACTGCACGTACCCGCTCCTCATGGGAGGCGAAGCTGGACTCCTCAAACTTCTGCAGGACCTTGAGTAGGCCCGCCTTGGCCGCAAAGAACGGCCGGTTCTCACTCCAGATGCGAACCTGGTCCGCTGCAGTCGGTGTGAGAGGTGGGTTGGTGTGTGTGTGTGTTGGTTGTCAGTGAGCGTGTTGATGTGTGCATGCGTGTGTGAAATGCAAAGGGTGCAAAGCAAAAGCGAAGAACCCACAGCGAGCGTGTGCATCACATCCAAAAGACGCGTGACCACAGACCACCACCAGCACCACCATCAGCACCACCGACACGGCCAGCGGCACCACCATACCTCTGCGGCGCTCGAACTGGCGCGACTGGGCGTTGGAGGATGCCTTGCGCTCCGTCATCGATCGACGGCGGAGGTTGCTCGACCCCGAGCGGGACCGCATGCTCGGCTGACGAACAGGGTCAGGGTTGTCTGTGCAATAAAGGGGAAGCAGACGTGTGTGCGTGTGTGGTTATGTGCGTGTGTGGTTATGTGTGTGTGGTTGTGTGTGTGGTTATGTGTGTGTGCGTGAGCACGCAAGTTGTGGTGGCCAGCACATTGGTTTATCATGGTTCGAGAGAATACACAACACAACACTACACACCACACAACACTACACTGCACACACAACACAACACAATACAGCACACAACACAACACTACAACACAACTCACGCTGCATCTCAAAGGCCTCTGTCGTGTCCGTGACACTGTTGCCGCGGCGCACCATGGCTCCTCCTCGGTTTTCTCAGCCTGGTTGACAGCAAGGTGCGGACGGGGGGAAACACCAACAGCAACAACAACGAGGCCAGGCACACGATGCTTTCCCTCAGTCAGCAGTCTGTTGAACGTGTGAGTGAGTGGCAACAACAAGCGAGCGTGCGTGCGTGATCGGTCAAGAAGACAGACAGCGAGTGCGTCTCTCTTTCCCCAACAACAACACACACACGACAGGCTGGACCAGGGCGGTGCTTGTAGGCTGTGTTGCTCTTACTGGTGGGACAAAACACGCACGCAGCGAAGTGGAGCGAATGCACACGTTTAAAGTCGTTGCTGTTGTGTGTGTGTGTGTGTGTGTGTGTGTGTGGGTGTGTGTGTGTGTGTGTGTGTTTGACTTTTTGCTTGCTTGGTTTTGCTTCACTGTTGTTGTTGGACGCTGATGACGCTGATGATGATGAGAGGGAAGTGTGGAGGAGGAGGAGGAGGAGGAGGCGACACAGTGCCTGTGCTCGCCCATGTCGTGTTGCTGTTGTCGTTTTTTGTGACAACGACAGTGACAGGGCTCCCAAGTGGGCAGCTGGTGGATGTGTTCAAGGCTGGGGAGGAAGGGTACTACTGCATCAAGATCCCAGACCTCGTCGTGACAGGCAACGGCTCGCTGCTGGCGTTTGGCGAAGCACGCGTCAGCAACTGCTCCGACTATGCGGAGACACACCTCGTCATGAAGCGGTCCACGGACCTGGGCCGCACGTGGTCCAGGCTGCAGGTCGTGCATCGTGAAGCCGGCGCTGTGATCGGCAACGCCGCGCCGGTTGTTCTTCGCACATCTGGCCGCATCCTTCTTCCCCACTGCCGCAACAACCTCAACATCTTCCTCACTTACTCGTAAGCCTGTGCACTGTGCTCTGCTTGTGGTGTGTGTGTGCGTGTGTGTGTGTGTGTGTGTGTGTGTGTGTGTGTGTGTGTGTGTGTGTGTGTGTGTGTGTGTGTGTGTGTGTGTGTGTGTGTGTGTGTGTGTGTGTGTTGGGTGTGTGCTGAACACACGACCGTGCAACTGGACCGTGCAACTGCATGCAGCTGCGTGTAACTGTGTTTCCATGCGCTTGTGTATGTATGTGCGTGCGTGCGTGAACACCGATGACACTTTGGAGATGCACCTGCGCAATCCCATCACACCACACGATCGCTGTTGCAGTTGCGTGTCGTTGTTTCTCCACGTGCTTTCTCACCAACCTCCAATCTCCTCACCCCCTTTCAATCACGCAGCGACGACGACGGCCTGTCATGGTCGGCGCCAGTGCATGTGCCCAACGCGGTTGATCCGTCATGGCACTGGGTTGGACTCGGTCCACCGGGCGGTCTGCATCTGCAGTCCGGGCGCGTGCTCATCCCCGCATACTACGACAACGTTGGTCCGCACTGGGACGACGGCCAGTTCACTCACATCCACGTCATGTACAGGTGTGCGTGTGTGTGTGTTGCGTGTTGGAAGGGCGTGAGTACAGTTGTGGTGTACGTGTGTGTTGTGTGTTTGTGTGTTGTAACATAAGTGCGTGAGGTGCGCGTGTGAGTTTGCGTTTGCGTATGTGAATGTGCGCGTGTGTACTGTGGCGCCCTGAATACATGTGTGCCACACGCCATCGCTTACGCTTCGGCTCACCCGCTTTTCGCCCCCTCCACGCCCACAACAGCGATGACGAAGGCGCGACGTGGCACATTGGGGCGCAGGTGCAGCAGCACGAGGGCGACGAGTTCTCCAACGAGAACCAGGCCGCCGAGCTGCTCAACGGCACCCTCATCTTCAACGCCCGCACCATGCTCACCCACCGCTTCCTCATATCCAGCCATGACGGCGGAAAGACATATGCACACGACGGGGCGCTTGCCACCACGCTCGTGCAGCCTGTGGACGGGTGCGAGGGGAGCACTGTGCGCGCGCCGACAAACGACACGCTGTACTACAGCGGGCCCACAGCCACCACTCTGCGATACAACATGACCCTCCACCACAGCACGGACTATGGTGCAACGTGGGCGCCGCTGCGTGTTGTGGACAAGGGCCCATCTGGCTACTCTGCGCTGGCATTTCTGCCCACGGGCCAGCTCGGCATGCTCTATGAGCGCTCGCCAGACCTCCGCGTTGTCTTCGTCCCCACAGCCATCTCCTTCCTTGTCGTCATGTGATGCTTTTGCTGGCTTGTGTGATTTGACGGTGTGCTGCGCACGTGTGTATGTGTAATGTGTACGTGAGCATACTTGTGTGTGTGTGTGTGTTTGTGAGCACGCGAGCATGCACGTGCGTAGATTTGTTACATGACATGACATTGTGAACCCACACATGAAGATGCCTTATTCCTTGCTTGATCGCTTGATCACTTGAGTTTACTGTTCGCTGCACGGTTGTTATTCATCACTTCCTGATGTGACAGATGGCATACACGAATGACTCTCGTTTATTCATTGTCAAACAACTTCGCTTCACTCAGCAACCACACAGATGCACACACACACACACACACAGACACAGACACACACAAAGATATACACAGACAGACAGACAGACAGACACAGACACACATACGACACAGACACACATGCAAACATGCATGTTGCCAATCCTCTGACTCTCTCAACGAGCACACCGATAACCACCATTCAATCCCACATCACCGCGACTACTGCCCATCGGCATTGCAGATGCTGGTGTGTGTACAGCCCGTGTCCTCCAACACGCCCTTGACAGCCTGTCGCGCAGTGTCCACTGCCTCGATGATGGTCGTGGGATCAACGCCACGCCCAGCACACACCTGCTGCGTCAGACACACCGCCCCGCTCGCACTCACGCCTACCAGCACAAACGCGTCTGCGCACTCCTGTGGGAGTTGAGGGAGAGAAGGGAGGAAGGGGAACGCTGGGCGGTGAGGAAGAGGGGTGGGGGTGGCATACAGACGCAAGTGCAGATAGACAAACACAGACAGACACAGACAGACAGACAAACACAGACAGACACAGACAGACAGACAAACACAGACAGACACAGACAGACACAAACACAGACAGACACACAAACACAGACAGACAGACACAGACACAGACACACACACACACACACACAGACACACAGACACAGCAACAACACCAGGCAGGAGTGCAAATGTGTCACCTCCTCCTCAAAGAGCGGATCAGCAAAAACGCGGGCGCCGATGATGCCGAAGCAGAGGATGACAGGAAACTCAGCAACACCCTCAATCGGAGACACCTGTCACGTGAGGGAGGGGGTGTACATGTGTGTGTGTGTGTGTGTGCGTGTGTGTGTGTGTGTGTGTGTGTGTGTGTGTGTGTGTGTGTGTGTGTGTGTGTGTGTGTGTGCGTGCGTGCGTTGTGTGCGGATGACACGTCACGAAAGGGAAGAAAGAAAGTGAAAGTGTATGCATTGACATGTGCATGCATTGACATACACATGCACACACAAACACAAGCAAACACCAAATACAACAAACAATTCACGTGGCGCACGTCGTAAGCGTTGCTGGAGATGTCAAAGTCCACGGCTTCACCGTTGCTGTCCTTGATGAGGGTGCAGTTGGGGATGGTCGTGTCGTGCAGCGCAGCCTGCACACACGCACACACACACACACACAGATACACACACACACACACAGGCACCAGACACAGATACACAAACACACACACAGACACACAGAAGACACACATAGAAGACACACACACGCACAAACACACACATACACACAGAAGACACACACACGTACACACACACACAGACACACAGAAGACACACACACACACGCACACACATGCACACACACACACACAGACACACGTCGCTGTGAGTTGGAGTTTGGAGGTGGCGCATAAGCGAAACAAAGGGGTTAAAACCAGCATAAAGCTGCTTTCAAACCCGTGCGAAGCCCACACGGATGCTGCTTCTCATCGGGTTCGAGCAGTGGGACGGCATGGGGTTGAGCACAGACCTTGATGGCGAGGAACACACACTCCACCACGTTTCCGCCCAGGCTCTGCAGCACCAGCACGTCCACGCGCACGCACCACACGGCCTTGCCCGGCAGGATACACAACTTCTGCTCGCGCGCACAGCAACACACAACAGCACATGGAGGCATGGTGAGGTGCCAGGGATTGCGACACCAGCATTGGCACAGGCAAAGCAACGCGTGTGGTGGTGAAAACGTTTGTACACACTGACACACACTCATACAATGACACACACATATACACATCCACATCCACATACACTGACGCACACACATAAACGCATGCACATTCACTGACGCACACGCATAAACACATACACGCACCTTCAAGTCGAGGGCGTGTGATGTCTTCTGCAGCTGCTCAGCCAGAAACTCCAGGGAGCGCGTCATCTTATCTGCTGTTCTTGCATCCAATGCGGCGACTGTCGCGTTTGCACTTGAAGAACTGATGGAGAACTGCAACATATGTGCAAACAGGTGCATCATGTGAGTTGCATTGTGGGTGTGGCGCAGATTTGGGCGGCATTCGGCATGGTCAGCCACATCTCGAGCATCACTCCGCAGCGACAGGCGTTTCACACGTGACAACATGCACGTTTTCTTTGTCACACAGAGTCACACCGTACCTCGAGCATGCCCTCGTCGGGGCGGTCGTCTGTTGGAGTTGCCACTTCCACTTTCACGCCAACCAGCACATCCGTGCCCATCAGCTGTACTCGTGACGATCCGTTTGCATTTGTGATGTTTCCAGTCTCCAACTCGAGTGGCCTGATGCGTGTGAACGAACACGCATGGGGATGTGGGGTGTGGGACGTGGGTGTAGGATGTGGATGTGGAACGTGGGTGTAGGATGACATGGTGGAGCTTGGACAGCCACAGCGCAGGAGAAGAGCAGCTGTTGTTGATACAGCACCATTCAACACACACACACACACACACACACACACACACACACACACACACACACACACACACACACGAGACACACCCCAAACATACCTTCGATCCAGGAGATCACGGCCATCACAGCGGATGTTGGCTGCGATGCCATTGGCAATGAACTGCCGTTCTGCTTTGCTTGCCATCTTGCCCTTGTTGCTGATCTGCTTGTATCGCTTTGCCAAGGTTTGCCGAAAATTCATTCATATCTTCAGCAAATCTTCACAACTGCACCCTGCCAAGATGGTGAGCACGTGTGTGTTGCGGCGTGTGCTGTTCGTGCGTGGTGTGTGTGTGTGTGTGTCTGTGTGGGTGTGTTGCTCCCACTTGAACGCCTCACATACTGTGGCTGCTTGCTTGCTGCTTGTGAACAACTGTGTGTGTGTGTGTGTGTACGTGCGTGCTTGTAGCTGCGACGACAGATTCGTGAGAGGCAAGAGTACCTCTTCAAGAGGGCTCAGCAAACAAAGCAGCATGAGATTGAACAGAAGAAGCGCGCGCTCAAGGCAGCCCTCGAAGGTGCGATGCGTGCCTCTCTGTGTGGCTGTGTGTGGATGTGCTTTTGTGTGTGTTTGTGTGTGTGGAATGCTTGTGGTGTGGTCGCGCAATCTTGCTCACCCACGTTTGAAACCGCGCATTCAAACACCTCCCCCCCCCCACACACATGCATGTGCACACCTGCCCAACAATCGGCATTGTAGCTGGCAAGCCAATCCCAACGGAACTCCGGGGAGAGGAGCCCGAGCTTCGCCGCCTCCTTGCTTTGGATGACCAACAAAAGACAGGTTGGTTGCTGCTGTCCACAGTCACGCTCGAGCTCGTTATGCTGTGCAATTTGCGATTTGGTTGTGTAGGATCGCTCACCCACACACACACACACACTCACACGCGCGCGCACACACACTCAAACACACATACACTCTCACTCACTGTGTTGAACTTGTTGCTGTTACGCAGATGTGCGCGATGACGAGTACAGGAAGGCGGGTGTTGAGGATCCGCGCATCATGATCACAACCTCCCGTGATCCCAGCGCAAGGTTAAAGCAGTTCACAAAGGTAAGCAGCAGCACCAACAATCACCAGATCTCTATTCTCCATCGCTGTGTACTTGTGGTCTCTCAAGTCTCGGCTGTTGTATCACTCACCAAAACACATGCGACTGTATGAATGAACACAGGAGATGAAGTTGCTGTTTCCAACAGCCCAGCGTCTTAACCGTGGTGGCACCATCCTGAAAGAGGTTCGTGTGCATGAGGACACTGTGTCCGTTCTGTGCTCTTGTGTCACCATATGTGCATGTTTGTGCGTGTGTATATGTGTGTTTGTTTTTGTGTGTGTGCGTGCGTGCGTGTGTGCGTGTGTGCGTGTGTGTCTGAAACGTTGCCTGCGCTTGCATCACACACATGCATGAGCATTTGATGCCGATCAGAAACCCTGCTCCTCTCATCTACATCTCCGATTCACCACCACCACTACCACCATGTTGACAGCTGGTGCAAGTGTGTCGGGACATTGAAGTGACGGATCTCATCATCGTGCACGAGCGTCGCGGCGAGCCAGGTGCTGCTGCTGCTGCGGCTGATGTCGCTTGTACTGTCGTGTGCACGCGTGTGTGTGTGTGTGGGGGGGGGCGTGGCTCTTTGCGCGCTGTGAACCTCGGAGTGCCCGCACACGCACACACACACACGCACACACACACACACACGCACACGCACACGCACACGCACACGCACACAACAGATGGGCTGATTGTGTCGCACATGCCATATGGTCCCACTGCATACTTTACGCTGAGCAACGTGGTGATGCGCCACGATATTGAGGACCCGGGCAAAATGTCGGAGGCAAACCCGCACCTCATCTTCCACGGCTTCTCCACACCGCTTGGCGAGCGGGTGCGTTGTCCCCTTTATACGTGTGTGTGTGTGTGTGTTGAACTCTCTCACGCTGCCGCACTTGTTCCTCGTTGATCGTGTCCTCGCTCAAGCTCTCTCTCTCTCACACGTGCACACACGTGCACTCACATACACACACACGTGCACACACACACACACACGTGCACACACATTTGGCGCATTTCGTGGGCAGGTGACGTCGATCCTGAAGTTTCTGTTTCCGGTCCCGCGTGATGACACGCGGCGCGTCATGACATTTGCAAACGACAGCGACTACATCTCGTTCAGGTGCGCAAGAAGAGATGGGGAGACGGTGGTGGGATGCTTTCGCTACAATGTGGTGTTGTGCGGCTGTGAGGTTGTGGTGCTGTATTGAAAAGGCGGGCACTGTGAAGTTAGGCCAAGTGGTCCTCGCTCGCGTGATGCTCACTGGTGCGAGTTTACCAAACCAACTTCTCTTTTACGATTGCCTGCAGGCATCACGTGTACACGAAGAAGGGCAAGGAGGTTGAGTTGGCAGAGATTGGGCCGCGCTTCGAGATGAAACGTAAGTGTGTACGTGTGTGTATGTTGGGCAGTGATAGATGTGCGTGCACGTGGTGCATGTGTGAGCGGTCCGTGTTGCTTTTTTTTTCTCTTGCTCCTTCTCATCCTTCTTACGCTGCTGCATCGTGACAGTGTACCACATCAAGCTAGGCACGGTGGATCAGGACGATGCAGATACAGAATGGGTGTATAGGCCATACATGAACACGGCAAAGAAGAGGACGTTCCTCTAGCCCTCCTCGTGTGATTGTTGTTGTTGTTTAAGTTGTTGTTGTTGTTGTTGTTGTTGTTGTTGTTGTTGTTTAAGTTGTTGTTGTTGTTGTTGTTGTTGTTTGCTGCCTTGGTTTGCAGTGTGCTCGGTTGTTACGTTGCACACTGGCTCGCTTTGCTCGATTGGCTGCCTGGTTGTGCCATGCAGCAGCAGCAGCGTGTATGAGTGTGTTGTTTCGTATCACATCACTGCTTTCGTTGGTTGCAGTCGTTGTGTGTTTGTTGTACGTGCTGTTCCATAAATCATATATGGCCTCTCATTGCGCCACAATCAAGCAATAACCAGCCGAGCGAGTGATGTGAACCAAGGGATGGCGAGCCGTGCCATATCACAGCCACACTCACCAACCACACACACACACACACACACACACACACACACACACACACACACACACACACACACACACACACACACACACACACACACACACACACACACCACCACCCCCACCCCCACCACACACACACACACCAACCAACAGCGCAAACGCACCCAACCACATTTCATCACGTTTTGGGAAATGTGAATGAAAGTTTACATGTTTTTCGGCAACTGAAAAGGCTCAGTCAGCAAAGCAGAACTGTGAGAGAGTGAGCAAGCAAGCAAGCAAGCAAGAGAACGAAAAGAAGCAATCGCTTTGTTGCTTGCACGCCTCCTCCGATCTCTCACTCTCCATCCACACACACGCATTGTTCACTCACTCACTCACTCACTCACCACCTGTCTCCACTCAGCCAACGTAAGTGTGAAACATCCACCCCCTCGCTGCCGCCTGTGTTGTCCAAGTCGCATCGAGCCCGATTTCGCGTGTGTCTGCCTGCCCTCCCTCCTTTCCCTCTCCTTTCCTTTGCGTCTTGTTGATCGCCACGCCTGCGTCACGCACCCCTACGCTTGCTTGCTTGCTTACGCCCTTCGCATCACCATCATCATCGTCACACACTCAGTTACTTCGTTCTGCGCCGCTGTGTCGGTGTTTCACGCACGCACACACACTTACTGTCTCTTGCTCTTGCTCTGGCCATCTCGGCGATTGCTTCACTTCTTTCCCCATACTTGCTCTCGCTCCACTATTTCTCAGCTCGATTGCTTCACACTTCTATTCCACCCTCCCCCCACAACCTGTGCTTTTTCCACAAACAGCTGCTGGGTGTGTGCGTGCGCTCTCCACTTGTCTGGCGCATCTCCCTCTTTCTCCTGACCTTGACCACTCATTTCTGTCTCTCTGTACCCTGCGCACATCTCCATGCTGGACCGCTTCACGAAACTCTCTGCGCTCGCTGTCTTGATCCCCACCGCGGTTGCCGTCCTCGTGCGCATGTACGTCTCCAAACGAAACGACCCCACTGCATCTGGTGAACCGGAAGACCCCACGCGTCGGTTCGTGAAGCCAGGCACCATGAGCACCTCCGAGGATTACCAGACCACGAACTTGGTGGTACGTTTTGTTTGTTGTGTCTTGTTTCTGTGAGTGTGCGTACTTGCGTGCCTGTGCGTGCGTGCGTGTGCGTGCGTGCGTGTGCGTGCGCGTGGTTCTCTTCTTTGCACGCCTTTCCACCATCCACCATGTTTCGTTTGTCCTCATACCCTAACATGTCCTTGTGTTCATGTGCGTGTGTGTGTTCGTGTGTGCAGATGGATCCTGGCTCTGAGGATCCACAGGCCATCCCTGTGAAGCGTCGCTCGTCCTCCTTCAAGCACGTCGAGTACCGCCACTGGCAGATTGGCGAGACCTCTGACGACGAAGAGCCACGTACGCGTACACACGCATGCGTGTTGTGTCCATGCGTGCATGCACGCAAACTCACGCACGCACACACAAACATTCGTCGTGTTGTCTTGGTTGGTGTGTGTGCGCGGCTGTATGGATGTGGGCACATTCATTGAGCATACACACACAAGCCTTTCCACCGTTTCATCACACACGCACACCATCATTAACACTCCCTCCATTGCTGTTGCAGACATTGATGAGATTGGGGAGGACCCGGACTGGATGCTCGCGACCAGGGTTGCCGCCTCCCCCGACGAGCTCATGCAGGCTGCAGAGAAGCAGGGCGTTGCCCTCCAGACTGTTCACTTTCGCCGCCCAGACATCAAAGTGTAAGCAAGCACTCGCGCGTTTGTGTGTGTGTGTGTGTGTGTGTGTGTGTGTGTGTGTGTGTGTGTGTGTGTGTGTGTGTGTGTGTGTGTGTGTGTGGCTGTGCGCATCGATGTGCGTGGGTGTTGTGCGTGGGTGTTGTGCGTGGGTGTTGTGCGTGGGTGTTGTGCGTGGGTGTTGTGCGTGTGTTCGCTGCCTGAGGCGACGCATCACGCGGCGATACTATTCTTACATTGCGTCGCACTCTGCGCATGCTATGCACGCGTGCATGCATGCACGCCCACTTTGCTTTGTTGCGCCGCTTTCATGTCCACCAAGCCCCTTTGCATCTCATCATGCTTGTTGTATGTGTGTGTTCTTTACGTGTGCGATTTCACATCACGACTGCCTGCAGGCTGATCCGCATTCCCAACACCGTGTACGACCGCGGTGACGTTGACTGCTTCGTCCGATACACAACCGACGGGTGAGCAACAGCAAAAGGTGCAGCGTGCTTCCGGTGGAGCGCAGAGGAAGCGCATGTGTTGGATGGAGAACGGTTGATGTTGTGATGGCGTGAATGTCAGTCGTGCAACCGCATCTTACTGGTCCTCACTTGTGCATTACAACGCCACTCACCTATCTCACCCAACTCCCTTCTTTACTGTGTGTGCCACGCGCTTCCGTGCACCCGCACATGTTATCCATCTGCACCTGCATATTTATGTTCATGTGCATGCATGCATGCATGCATGTAATCAACCGCGGCTCCAACCTCCTCGCACCAGCTGGCAAACATACAACGACGCAAAGGCCCGCCACTGCAGCGACTGCCTTGGCATGATGCCGAGCACACAGCTCTTCAGGGTCAGTGCTGCTGTCTGTGTGCACGTGACGTTGGTTCAATGTTTGACGTGAAGGGTTGCAAGAAGTGGCAACGACGCAGTCGAACGTGGCCCTTTTTGCTAGTGCAGCTTACATACCCATGACACACACGCACACACACACACACACACACACACACACACACACACACACACACGCGCGCACACACACACGCGCAACATATGCACAAATGATCAGACGCGCATCCCTCTGCCCGAGAACGAGCACGGGCGACTCGAGTTTGCAATCTGCATGCGCGTGAGTACACTCGATGTGTGGGTTCGTGTGTGTGTGTGTGTGTGTGTTGTGTGTGTGTGTGTGCTTGTGCTTATTGTGTGTGTGTCTGTGTGTGTGCTTGTACTTGAAGCTTGCTGACCTCGGCCCCCCCCCCCCCCGGGGATTTGGCTCCCACCTTCACACACATACGTGCTGTCATGCCATCCGTTAAACAGAGTGGTGGCGAGGAGGTTTGGGACAACAACTTTGGCGCCAACCACGTGGTGCAACCAATCGAGAACAGGTCCATTTGAGGCAACCGTACACATGCAAGCGCACATGCAAGCGCACACCCACGCGAAAACGCACCGTGCGAGTGTGTACGTGTTCGCGCGCGTGGATCTCTTGTCTCGACCTCTTTATTCCTCGAATCGATTTGCTCTTCCACTTTCCTCTTATTTGCGCTGGCTGCTGTTGCTTCATCTTAAAGCCCTCCTTTCCTTTCCTTTCCTCTCTTCTTTCTCCCGTCTTCCCTCCATCTTCTTCCTCTTCCATGCATTCCTGACCTCCACGCTTCCTCACCGCCCCACACGCGCATGGCTTGTGTAAGCCGTGCAAGTCCTTCCCCACATCTCTTCCTCCTTTTCATCATGCATCTGTTGTTGCTGTTGCTGTTGCTGTGACGCGTGTGATGCGAATGCCCTATGTTGGTGCTGGTTCTTCTGCATGCATGAAACCCACAGACACGCGCGGATACGCACACACGCACACAACTCAACACGTAGCTCCACACACATACACTTCCATTTGCCGTGTCATAGCATCACGCACGCAGCTTGTCTGCTCGTCATTAAACGATTGGGTGTTGTGCTGTTGGATTTGCTTGGTGCGGCCAACTGACAGGTGCGTGAGTGCTACGAACCAAGACCAGTGGTGGTGACTTGTGTGCTTGTTCGTTTCGTGCGTACGAGTTGTTGTTGTTGTTGTTCTTGTTGTTGTTGTTGTTGTTGTTGTTGCTGGTTGTTGTTGTTGCTGTTGTTGTTGTTGCTGGTTGTTGTTGTTTAGTGTTTGCATGCGACTCAAGCGAAAGAGGACAAAGCAAAGTGACACATGGCATGAATGGATTGCCACATGAAATGGGCCATAGAGTTAAAACCCAACACAGAACAAAGGATGTTGCGAGGCAGAAAGCACAGGATGGCAAGCACGAAACAGCTGATCACACTGTTTGGTCATTCACACAATTGAGGGCAATCAACGCAACAGATTCAATCATCAATACCCGAACATGTACAGGGAAGAGGCACCAGCGGGAGGGGGGCACAGACGCAGGGATTAATTATCGCTTCACACAAATCAGCACACACACACACACACACACACACACACACACACACACACACACACACACACACACACTCACACACACACACACACAAACCGCAACCGCATCACGTTGGCGTCACCTCCGCACCGGCTCTCCACGCCGAAGCGGGGTGCTGCCAACACGCGTGTATGGCCCTCTCAAGCGCACGCACAAAACGCTCCACATCCACAAGCGGGAAGACCATTGGCGGGTTGATCACCATGACATTGTCGCCAGGCCCGTCAAGCGACGTCAAAATGTGGTGGTCGTCCTTCAAACGTGTGCACACGAATGATGCCTCTCGCGTCCCCGGCGCCCGTGTGTGTGTGTCGTTCACAAAGTCAATGCCGATAAACAGGCCCTGTCCACGGATGTCACCAATGAAGCAGCGGCCTGCGTGATCTGCCGTGGTCTTTGACGATGATGATGATGATGATGATGATGATGATGATGATGATGATGATGATGATGATGATGATGATGATGATGATGATGATGATGATGATGATGATGATGATGATGATGATGATGATGATGCAGCAGCAGTTGTTGTTGTGGTTGCAGGTGTTCCGCTCAACGATGATGATGACGTGTGAGTATCATTCGCCAGCACGGCAGTCGCGCGTGTCTGTGCACCGGTTCCTGCACTGTCACTCATCGTCGTGTTGCCATACTGTCGCTGCAGCCGCTTGGCCAGTGCACGCAGGCTGCTCCGCAATGCATCGCCAACATACGCTGCACGCGCGCCAAGGTTGAGCGAGCGCACCTGCTCCATCACCGCCAAGCCAGCAGCACAGCACACAGGGTTGCCGCCAAAGGTGTTGAAGTACTCTGGGCCGCGCTCAAAGGAGGCGGCTATGGCCTTGCGGCACACCACCGCCGCCAGGGGCATGCCATTGCCGAATGGTTTGCCAACCGTCACAATGTCTGGAATCACGTCATCATCCGCAGGGTCATGGGTAGCAACAGCGGCATGCGTCGTGGTGTCTGCTTCATCGTCACCATGCGTGCCGTGGTTGTCGCCATCATCACCGCCATCACCACCATTGTCCTTGTGCAGAGCAGTAGTGGTGTCGTTGCTGCCGTTGCTGCTGTTGTGGCTGTCGTGGCTGTCGTTGCTGCTCTCGTTCTTGTTGTGGAGTTGAAACGCCCAATACGAGGTGCCCAGCCGTGCGAATCCCGTCTGCACTTCGTCAACGATGCACACACCGCCCGCGGCCCTGACAGCAGCAAAGCAGCGGCTGAGGTACCCAGGCGGTGGCAGCAGCACGCCAGCAACCGACATGCCAGACTCAACAATCATGCATGCAAGCTTGCCTGCCCGCTCCCGTGCAACTGCCTCCACTGACTCCGCATACAGCGCTCCCAACAGCTCCTCGTCCTCGCGTGTGTCCACCACGCTTGAGCTGCGAGATGACGATGCGGACGATGGTGACGGGGACAGTCGTGCGGAAGCGGTGTCATGTTGCGGTGGCAGAGGTGTTTTGCTGACACGGGCGGCTGTTGCTGTCGTGCTGTTGGTGTCAATGGTGTCAGTGGTGTTGGTGCGGTTTGCATTGGTTTGATCCCTCATTGCAGAGCTTACGTTGGCATGTGCATTGCCGGTGGCGTTCGCCCCAGAGCCACCACGACCACCACCATCGCTGCTGTCGCTGATGACGGTCGCATCTGTTGCTGTTGTTGTTACCTTTGTGGCTGTGGCTGTTGCTGTGGCAGTGGTGTGTGGCGAGGTCGTGGGCATGCATGCATGCATGCATCGCTCATCATATGCGGCCTTGATCGATGGGTGGATGCGATACGTGTCGGGTGCCGGAACGACGTGCGTGCGCGTCTTGTGGTCTGAGGGCTCTTGGAAGCGCGGGTGGCGGCACTTGTAAGGGGAGCACGCGACAACAGCGCACGTGTGCCCGTGGTAGCCGTGCTCGACGGCAATTGTCTCCCTGCACTTGGTGTGGCAGCGGGCGAGGCGCAGTGCCAGGTCGTTTGCCTCCGACCCCGAGTTGACGAAGAAGACGACGGCGTCATCACGCAGAGGGCCGGGCATGGTTGCAAGCAGCTGCTCCGCGAGCTCCACCACGTGCGGGTGGAGGTACCGCGTGTTGGTGTTGAGCGTGTGCACTTGGCGCTGGACGGCTTTGGCCACGGCGTTGTTGCAGTGGCCGACGTGGCACACGTTGTTCCGTGTGTCGAGGAAGGAGCGACCCTCCACATCAACGAGGAACTGGCCATGGCCCTTGACGATGACGAGCGGGTCGGTGTTGGCGTAGGAGACGCTCTGGGCTCTGCTCATGCAGCGCAAGCGACGCGCCAGCAGCTCGTCCGCGGGGATGGTCGTCTCGGCGGTTGTCGATGCATAGGGTGCCAACAGCAGCTCTGATCGGCGCCGCATCTGCTCGCGTGTGAGGTGGTGGTTGCTGTGGTCATCATCATCAGCATTGGGGCCACCAACGGCCACGTCGCCACCCCGCTCCAGGTCGCAAAGCTCTGCTGCCATCAGCACTGGTGCTGCTGGTTTTGGAAGCACCTTCGGCGGCTGGGAGCCCAGGTCAAAGGTGCGATCAAAGGCGCCAGGAAGGAAGGCATTGGCGTTGTGGTGCTGATGGTGTTGTTGCATGCTATTGCCTCCACCACGATCAGCACCACCACTGGCAAGTACGGGGTGTGCAGGGCAGTGTGTGTCAGGTGGTGCGCTCGGAACAAGGCCATCGCCGATCGGGTCATCTTCGCTCATGGTTGTGGGTGCTGCTGTGGTGAGTGCCGTCGTGGCGCCGGCACTAACACCAGCCCGCGACCACGCGCCCTGCATCATGCGCACCACAGCACCAATCGCTGACGCAAGCACACACACCACCATCTCCCTTGCTTTGTTTTGGTGGTTGTGGTCTTGCAAATGAATGCGCAGAAAATGTGTGATTGTGGGAGGAGTGCCTCGAACAATACGTGTGCTTGGGTGTGCTTGCTTTTTTTTTTTGTGTGTGTGTGTGTGTGTGTGTGTGTGTGTGTGTGTGTGTGTGTGTGTGTGTGTGTGTGTGTGTGTGTGTGTGTGTGTATGTGTGTGTGTGCGTGCGCGTGCTTGCTTGTTTTTTTTTGTTGTGTGTGTATATGTGTTGTGTGGTTGTATTTGCGTTGGTGCTCCTGCCTTGCTTACTTGACAGTCGATTGCAAATGGTGTGGTTTGCACTCAGAACAAGCACAAGCACAAGCACAAGTCGAGAACAGCTACAACGAACGAACGAACACACACACACACACACACACACACACACACACACACACACAAAGCAAGTGCAAGAACTAGCAAACAGGTCAACTTGCGTCAAGAACAAGACAGGCAAAGTAGCAACATCAAGCTGAAGGCATGTGGGCTGCCCACCAGCTATTATCCTCCTTCTCCCCCCACCCCACCCTAACTCACTGATTCACGCACGCAACGCAACTCCACTCAACGCAGCCCCACCGCCTCCCTCGCGACTCTTAATCCAGTTATGTGCTTACACCACAACAAAGTCCACGCCTTCACCACCATCGTTGTCAGTATTGTGTTGGCGATCACTCAACACAAGCACAGCCTGCTGCTGCTCTTGCTGCTGTTGCTGTGGTTGCGGTTGCTGCTGGTGTGGTTGCTGCTGTTGCTGTTGGTGATCACGTGCACCGTGCGCATCAGCTGTGTGATGATCAGCAGCCATCCAGTGGCCAACACCAGTCATGGGCGTGCTTGTCGCATACCCTTCAGCTGCCACCGCGCCAGTAGGCGGCGACGCAATGTCACCCGCTGCCACATGTGGCAGTGTCGCTGTTGGCGCTGTGCTGGGGAACGAGGCCACAGGCGCTTCAGGTGGTGCTGTCGCGGACACGTCATTGTGCGGTTGTGTTAACACACCCACGTGGCCGTTGCTGTGATCAACAGTCGCAGGGTGTTGCTGTGCCTGTGCCTGAGGTGCGGGCAGTGGCACAAAGGCGCCAGTGTCCGCGGCTGGTGCAGGTGCCCGACCATTTGTCGGTGTCACCACCCGCACGTGCGACAGCGTAGCGGCGTCGCTGCCGCCGTTGACTGCATGCGCGTATCCGTTGCCATTGCCAGCGCCTTCACCGTTGCCATCAAGCGTGGTGGTGGACGATGCCACCGTTGGGGAAGCAGATTCCAACACGCGCATCTCGTGGTCCCCGACAACGAAGAAGTCCACTGCCTCCGACGACTCGCCAAACTCGCGCTCCAGCTGCGTGCGCCGTCGCGAGTGGTGGTGGTGATGGTGGTGTTTCCGCGGCGTGGGCAGGATGACAGCCCGTGCCCCGCGCATGTGTGCAACATCACCGGCACTCAGCGTGTGGCGCAGATCACCACCCCCGCCAGCGTGCACGTGTGACGTGTGTTTGCGGCCGCGGTGCATGTCCCTGCCACCCTGTGCGTCACCGCCCACCGCCTCCGTGCTCTTGTACACGCGTCTCGACCGCTCCGCCAGCGGCGACGGGTGCGTGGGTGTCGTTGTCCCCACGGTGGCAGCCCCTCTCGTTGGCACATGCTGCTGCTGCTGATGATGTTGGTGCTGCTGGTGCTGCCGGTATGAGGGCGTGATGCTCTGCTCCTGGCTCGTGCCACTGCTGTCCCCAGCCCCGTCAACGCCCCCACGCCCCCGCACGTGCGCGTGCGTATGAGCGCCTGCTGTGCGGAGCGTGCCTGCTTGCCCTTCCCGCACTGTCCACTGCATGGGCTGTGCTCGCATGCTGCCATGCATATCCAGCAGTGATGTTGTGCGCAGCGGCGTCAGCTCTCCGCTTGCTCCCGCGTCGGCGTGCGCGCGTGCATGGTCGTGTGTGTGTGGGGCGACTTCAAGCATCTCCTCAGATGCCTTGTTGTCATCTGTTGCGGCACCAGCTGCCGTAGCGCTGCCATCATAACCACCACCACCACCACCCTGACCGTCCTGACCATCCTGACCATCCTGGCCATCATCATCATCATCATCATCGTCACCACCGCCCAAGGTGAGGACGAGGCCGCTTCGAAGTTCGCTCGAGTCAAAGTCGACTGGCGTTGCTTCGCGCAGCGGCGCCAGCGGTGTACGCGATCCGTCTGTTGGCGTGTGCAGGGATGACACGGGCGCACTCTCCGCTCGGCGCGGGCCACGGCGCGGCCGTAAGTGGTGCGGAAGTGCTGCAGGGGCAGCCTGCTGGTGGTGGTGGTGAGGGTGATACTGGGGATACTCGTGGCCGTGGTCGCCGTCATGGGGAACAACAACGTCGCTCGCTTCAAGCTGCTGCTGCTTGTGCTTACGCCGCCGAGCACCACCACCACCTACAACAGCAGCAGCGGCAGCGTCGGTGTCGAGGTGCGCATTGTCCACGTCCTCCGCAACGCTGCCGAGATTCGGGGCGCGGGCGAGACGGCGGCGCGGATTGCCGCTCGTGTGCGTTGCGCCCTCCATGCTCAGCTGCCGGGGCAATTGGGGTGTGTGTGTGGGGGGGGGGGGGGGACACAATGGTCAGTGAGGACATGTGCGGAGGATTGTTGGTTGTTGTTGTTGTTGTTGTTGCTTAAGTTGTTGTTGTGTGAAGGTATGTGTGCGTTTGCATTCCAGTTGGGACCACATGAGAAAAATCAAGCACCACAGAGAAGACCGTGAAAGTGGAGCACACCGCAATATGAGGAGGGGCGTGACATCTGTATGCCACCGACCTTGGTCATGGATGGAACGGAGGTGACGGTGCGAAGTCCCGGTGTCTCAACTGGTGCAGCGGGATCGTTTCCTGACATGGTGAAAAGATTTTTTTTGGGGGGGGGGGAAGGATTAGGTGAGGGATGCATCGTGTGGCATTGGCGCACGCAAGAAGCAACGTGCAAGGTAAGGCAACACTCACACATGCATACACACACATGCACACACACAAGCATACACACGTACCAAAAGTGTTGACGGATTCTGGGATGTTTGGCTGCGACGTGGCTGTTGTTGCGTCATGACGCCTTGATGTTTCATCAACGCTCGCGTGCCTGCTGCGCCGCCGCCACCAGCTGTGATGATGGTGGTCGTGACCGCCATCGCTGCTGGCATCGTGCGACTCGCCACGGTGGAGGAAGCTGAGCCAGCTCGAGCGGTGGTGGTGCGGGTGGTCGTGGCCAGCTGGGCTGTTGCTTCGCGAGTCGTGGCGGCTGAGGTGCAGGAAGTGGAGCCAGCTGTAGTGGTGGCGGTCGTGGTGGTGGTGGTGCTGCTGCTGGTCGTGTGGACGATGACGCCGCACATCCAGCGCATGACGCAGGCGGCTGCGGCTGTCGGTGGTGGCAATATTGTCCAAGGTTGTGAGGGTGTGAGGTGTTTTGGTCGGGGAAGAGAGCGCGGTGAGAATCGACAACAACCAATGTGCGCGTGTATGTGCGTTGGTAGCAGCGCATGCGGCAGGACACCGGGGAGATGTCACACACACACACACACACACACACACACACACACACACACACACACACACACAAAGTGGCATCCACATCACAAGGCGGCACGATCATCACCTGTGTCCGTCTGCCTCGTCCGCTTGGAACTGGAACGAGGTGAGGTCGGTCTGTGTTCCTTGGGAGACGAAGAAATCCTCCTCTTCCTCCTCTTCGACCGTCAGCAGCGATTCAAGCAGCAGCATCGAGCCAAGGACACCTGCACACACACATACACACGTACACACGTACACACACACACACGCATACACATACACACACATACACACGTACACACACACAAACAATAACCAAAATTGCAGCATCAAAACGAAATGTTGAGTGTCACAGAGAAAAAAGAAAAGAAAAAAAAACAGCATATGAAAGTCAAGAAGAGCAGCACCACCACCACCAGCACCAGGACCAGTGTTGCCGCTGCAAGTGCTTACATGCGAGGATGGGCATGAGGGAAGCTGGGTCGAGGTGATGCGACACAGTGTCACCATCTACCGTCGAGTTGGTGGCTGCCGTGGCAACTGTCGTCACAACACCGCCGCCGCCACCGGCAATGGCATTCATAAACATGGACGGCACCGCGTTCAAGCCATAGTCACCATCACCACCATCGCCGTAGGCACCAGCACCAGCACCGTCACCGACAGCAGCCGCAGCAGCGAGTGCGGCGGCGTCCATGGTGGTGGCCGGGGCAGGGGCGAAGTGCATTGAAGCGTCATCCCCACCGTCAGCAAGGCTGCGCTTGCCTTTGCTTGCGGTGTCGTTCTCGTCCACGAGAAGAGCGAGCGGAACAATGAGGAGACTCAACACGGCCTCCACTCGGAGAATGTCGACCCGCGTTGTCTTGCGCCCGCACAACTGCAGCGGTCGCATCTTGTGCAGCAGACTAGACACGTTCATGGTGAAGAGGGTGATGCCAAGCGGGCCCGTCAGCGCCCACGCGTACACGCGCTTGTAGTCCTCCGGGTGCGACGCATACGAGATGGCAAGCTTGATGCCAACCGCCATCACCAGCATGCCCGAGGTGATGACAAGATGCAGCGAGTCAAACACAAACGCGAGCAGCGGAGAGTGGTCGAGCGCATGCTCTTCCGCGCGTTCGTCCAGCAGGTGTTGGGACTTGAGATGAAACTTCATCAGCCAGTACACGAGGAGAAACGCACACACGACGACAACGTAGTACTCAACGTCACGCATGTGCTGCGCCGAGGCAATGGAGAGGATGGACTCGCCAAGGATGAGCACAACCCAGAGCTGGTTGCGCTCGAGCAAGTGCGCGGTGTTGACGGTGAGCTGGTACTCGTGCGGGGTGAGCAGTGCCAGCGGGTACATGATGAGTTCGGCAACGGAGGCGGTGATCCACAGCACAATCGCTGCGGTCGCGTGGTTGGCGGCGGCAGCGGCGAGGAAGAGGCACGAGCTGATGGCGAAGATGATGAGGTACTTGCGCACCATGGCGCGTGCGAGCGGTATGCGCCAGGCCACCACCAGGTACACGCAGAGGAAGGCCACGCGGGTGAGGCAGAGGGAGCCAAAGATCATGGGGTCGTTCTTGCCAAACCCGCTCTCGACCACGCCAACGCTGGGCTGTTCAACCGCGTGGATGGCGTGCCCAAGCGTGCCCACCATGATGAGGAAGACCAGGGATGACAGCGGCTGTCCGAGACGAAAGCGCGTCAGGAGGATGTTGGTGTGGAACCTGCAGCAGTGTTGCGATTGAGGGTGTGAGTGTGCGTGTGAGTGTGAGTGAGTGTGAGTGTGAGTGTGTGCGTGAATGTGTGCACGCGTGCATATGTATGCGTGTATATGCCTGCGCGCTTTCGTGTGTGCGTATGCCTGCGCGCTTTCGTGTGTGCGTATGCCTGCGCGCTTTTGTGTGTGCGTATGCCTGCGCGCACACTTTTGTGCATCAGGTGTGCATGTTGCGCGCATCACTTGTGGGTGTGGATGGGTGTGTGCTTTGTGTTGATGGCTCACCATGTCAGCCAGGCTGTGGCGAAGATGACGAGGGTTTCGCCGAGACGGCGTGCGGTGAGGTCGGCCTTGAGGAAGTACCCCAGGTCAATGCCAATGGCAACGAAAATCTGGTGTCGTGGGCAGTGGTTGACATGTTGTTGTTGTTGTTGTGGTGGTGGTTATTGTGTGAAGGTGGAGATGAGGCACCGCAAAGATGCAGCTGGATGCAGGTGCATGCTGTCGGATGCTGTTGAATGCAAGCGCCATTTGTTCGTTCACACACACACACACACGCACAGGCAGACACGCGCACACAGACATACACACGGACACAGGCACAGACATACGGACACGCAGAAACACAGACACACACACACCAGGTCGAAGAAGAGCTCCTCGCTGGAAACTTCAGAGTGCTCGTGGAAAATGTGTTCTTTGTGCTTGGAGTGCTTGAGATGGTCCGGGTGCACCACCTCACGATGGATGCGCACGAGCCGTGCAAGAAACGACTTCCACGGAGAAAGGTCTTTGGCGCTTCCTGCCCCGGTGCTGGTGCTGTTCTGCAGCTGTTCCTCTTTTTTCTGCTGTTGCTGTTGCTGCTCCATTTGATTATCTTGCTGCTCTGGCGATGGCAGCTGCAGCGGGTCGCTGCCCGTTGTGGTTGTGGCGGGCTCAGACATGGCTGAGGGCACGGTTGCCGTTCGTGTCTACGAGTGGCGCTGCCGCAAGCTGCCGGCCCTTTGGGCGCGAAAAGGGCCCGTTGCTATGAACGAAGAAAAGCGAGCACCAGTCGGGCCTTGTGCCGGCAAGGAAGGGAGGTAAAAAAGGTGTAACGGCAAGGGAGGGGACCCACAAAGGAAAAGCACGCTCACGCCGTGGCGACTGCTATGGACACGATTTGACGCGCAAGCACGCGGGGTCAAGCGATGCGGCCCAAAGCCACAATCCCAATGTATGTGTGCGTGCGTGCGTGCTTCAACAACAGAGAGCGCGGGTACGATGTGCGGGGGACACACAGCCAGCCCTGTTTGTTGTTGATGATCGTGTGTGTGTGGGGGGGGAGGGGTGAGACGGGCAGTGGGATGAAGCAAACACGTGTAAATTGATGTGATGTGATGTGACGAAAGAGACCTTGTTGTTGTTGTTGGAGTTGACGAGACGCACAAGCAGACACACAAGCAGACACACAAACACACGCCAACAAAGGCAAACACAACATGCATGCGCCGTGCGGTATGTGCATGCAACACACACCTTGATTGTCCTTCTTCCTCCTCCACAAAACAAAAGCCGCTGTTGTTTTGTGCGCGTCGCCCGGCTGCGATGTTTATTTGAAATCTTCACTATTTTTCCACAAGCTTGTGTAACCAGAAGAACCAGAAGAAGAAGAAGAAGAGGAAGAAGACAAGGCAAGCAAACAGCACGAGCGCCACACCACAGCACCCCCCACGACGACGACCACCACCACCACTACCGCCTACCATCAAGCCTTCGTGTACGTGCAACTGTGTGCATACATACACGTGCATACGTACGCGACAGCAAAGGGCCTCTGAAGCGTTCCTCGTCGCGTAACGAAAGTTCACCGTCCAGAATCGCAAGTTGCGCAAGTGGTGCATCGGCGCTGGATCTTGAGTGATCCAGACACCCAATTGCAACTGCGTCAGTGGTTCCTTCCTCTGTGAGCCGGAGTACGCGGCCATTGAACCCTCTGCTTTGATGGCGCGAGCATTTACGGAAATCCCTTACGATGACATCGAGTTCTTGGAACTTGTCGGGTGAGTCAAACTTGCACACAGTGACGAGATCGTGTGTGTCTGTGTGTCTGTGTCTGTGTTCTTGTGTGCGCGCGTCTGTGCGTCTGTGTGTGCGTCTGTGTGTGCGTCTGTGTGGGTGTGTATGCGTGCGTGCATGCATGTACGTGCAGTTGTGACAAGATCGCGAGCAGAATGTTGCTTCTCGTGCTGTGCACACTTGCTTTCAAGTTGGTGTGCATGTGGTGCTTCCTTCTTGTCACTCACCATGACACGTTGTTTCCGACATGGTTGCGATCCCATCCCCCCCCCCCTTGTGCAGCGGTGGCCGATTTGGATCAGTTTACAAAGCCAAGTGGCATGACAAGATAGTTGCTGTGAAGAAGACCCTCTGCTTTGACCAGGAGGTCAGGCGTGCTGTTTTACCCCATTCGTTTGTGTGTGTGTGCGTGTGTGTGTGTGTGTGTGTGTGTGTGTGTGTCGATTGTTGCTTGCTTGCTTGCTTGGGAATGGATGTGGATGCGTGCATTGGTGTACAATCATGCTCTGCTTGCAGTTGGTGTGTTGTGTTTGGTGTGTTGTGTAGTGTTTGTTTGGTTGTGTGTTTCATTCTGCTCACGTGATCGCTGGTGTGCTTCCTGTCAACCTGCACAGGCAATGCTGCTGGCGTCTCTCCGGCATCGAAACATCATCACATTCTTTGGCGCGTGCACTGCAGCACCAAACAGTTTCCTGGTCACCGAGTACGCCGAGCACGGCTCCCTCTACAACTTCCTCGAAAGTATGTGCTGCTCCTTGTCATCCAATTGCGCACATGCATGCATGCATGCATTGTGATAATTGCCACTCATCCTTGGTGCCAATGTGCACATGTGCTCGTACGATGGTCATCTCTATGGCATGATCACGGACACACTCACATGCTGCCACTCACGCGCTCCCACTCACACGCGCTCCCGCTCACGCGCGCACACACGCACGCACTGACGCGCATTGCTGCAAAGACGTGGAGACGCTGGAGGTCCACCTGATTCGCAACTGGCTGGTTGACATTGCGCGCGGCCTCCGCTATCTCCACCACGAGGCCCCGAAACGCATCATCCACAGGCACGTGCACACATGCATGGGCAGCGGTGTGCTCGCTGTTGTATCAAACATGAGAGTGGGAGGGTGGGTGGTATGGGTCGATGTTTTGTGGCACTGCACACACACACACACACACACACACACACACACACACACACACACACACACACACATACATGCCCCGCATACACAATTCGCACACACATACACACAATTCACACACACACACATACATGCCCCGCATACACAATTCGCACACACACACACACAATTCACACACACACACAACACACACACAACACGCAACAAACACACACGCCGACGCCACCCGCAACACATGCAGGGATCTGAAGAGCCTGAATGTGCTCGTGTGCGAGGACGAGCGGGAGAATCTCGTGCTGAAGATTTGCGATTTCGGGTCGAGTCGACAGGTCAGCCGCGACACCAAGTCTGTCACGTCAGCCGGCACCGTCAGCTGGTGAGGATGTTTGCTCCCATGCGTGCTCACTGGAGAGGGTGTTATAATAGATGTATTCATGTCGCAATTGTCCACCCAGGGGTGGGGCTTTGTGGTTGATGGATTTCAATGTCGACTGTCAATACTTCCACCATCACCCCATCTGTTATCATATCTCATCATCACCACCACCACCACTGCCATCAGGATGGCACCAGAGGTGATTCGCAACGAGCACGTGACGGAGAAGTGCGACGTGTGGTCCTTTGGCGTCATTGCCTGGGAGCTCGTCACTCTCGAGGTCTGTTGCCACCTGTGCCGACCTTGGTAGTGGTGGTGGCGTTGTTGCTTTGAAGTTGGTGTGTGCCATGCTGTTCTGTTGCCTGTCGTGACATGTTGTTGTTGTTCCATTGGCATCCACGCACGCTTGACGCTTCTTACGGCTCGGCTCACCCGTTGTCCCCACCATCCCACACATCCTCAACCACCCACCACCACGCCTGCGACCAGGTTCCGTATGCGGGCATGGAGCCGTACTCTGTTCTCTGGCTCGTCGCCAAGCACGGCATGAGTCTTCACATCCCACAGACGTGCCCAAGCAGGTGCTGTTTGCTCCCGATGCGCCATGATGCGGGGGGGGGAACTGTTGTTGTGGTTGATGTTGTCATCGGCCCAGTGTTGTGAGCTGCGCCTGTGGGACATTGGTTTGCCCGTGTACGCAATCACACACACACACACGCACACGCACACACATACACACACACACACTAGGCTGTCTGATCTGATGAAGGTGTGCATGGCCCAGAATCCCTGCGACCGCCCGACATTCGACACCATCGTCCGCTTGCTCGACGACATGCGATCCGACGGTGCGAACGATGATGATGATGATGATGATGATGATGATGATGATGATGATGATGATGATGATGATGATGATGATGATGATGATGATGATGATGATGATGATGATGATGATGATGATTGTGGTGGTGGTGGTGGTGGTGGTGGTGGTGGCAATGATGAGATGATCGTGGCGGCGGCGGCGCTATGCGTCACAGCACGTTTGTTTCCATCTCACCCCTCACACACACACACACACACACACACACACACACACACACACACACACACACACACACACACACACACACACACACACACACACACGTACAGCGGGAGGCGGCGATCCGACTGCGGGAAGAGGCGCTGCGCCTTCAACTCCACAGCGACAGTTTCATCGCCAACCAGGTTGCCACGCCAAACACCCCGCACCAGGATGCGCTCATGTCCAAATTCTCGTCAGATGTGCCCGCACGCTACTGGAACACAGAGCAGGTGGTGGCGTGGGTGAGCGTGCTGCCCGACGGCCTGTCGCAGTATGCGGACGTGTTTCGGGACAATGCCATCAACGGCGAAGTGCTCATCAAACTCACGGACGAGGCGCTCATGAACGCTCTTGGCATGAAGCCGTTTGGACACAGGTCAGCACGCACACATGTGACGGTGGTGGTGGCGGTAGTGGTGGTGTGGATCGTTCGTGTGTGCGCATTGGAGAATGCACATTCCATATTGTTTGTTTGTTTGTTTGTTTGTTTGTTTGTTTGTTTGCTTGTTTGTTTGTTTGTTTGTATCTGTGTGATTCGCACAAGCAGGCATACATTCACCCCCACACAACACCACCACACCACCACATCTGCACTGCACATCACCTCCACACCACCACGTCACATCGCAGGTTCCGGTTCCTTGAGCTGGTGCGCAACATCCAGAAGTCGTCGGAGTTCCCGCCGCTGTCGTCATTGGCCAACGACGAACCGATTGTTGTCAACGAGGATGTGATTGTGTCGTTCATCTACATGTACAAACCAAACCCAGTCCGGGAATCGTTTGAGTTTCTCCTGCGCCCAGAGCAGGAAATCCACCTCGCCTACATCCAGCAAGTGCGTCTTGTGTGTGTGTGTGTGTGTGTGTGTGTGTGTGTGTGTGTGTGTGCACCGTATGTTTTTATCATCATTTCACATGATCTTCACTTTTATTCTTGAACACACACACACACACACACACGCACACACACGCACACACGCACCCGCTCACGCTCAATCGATTTTCACCTTTCTTTCTCACCCGTTACCAACTCCTCCCCCTCCTCCTTCTCGCCTTCCATCCACCCTCTCTCTCTCTCTCTCTCTCTCTCTCTCTCTCTCTCTCTCTCTCTCTCTCTCTCTCTCTCTCTCTCTCTCTCTCTCTCTCTCTCTCTCTGGCCCAAGGTTGAGTTTGTGCTGTCTGTGCCCACGCGGCCGGAGAATGAGCTGCAGGTGTGTCGCAATCCGCCCTTTGAGTACTCGGGAGCGTCGCCACCAGCGGGCGAGAGGGCAACGCTGATGCTGCGCATCACGTACCAGACCCGCCTCTTCCGCCGCAAGACAACAAAGCGCACATTCTCCATTGACGGCAACGCCAGGATGGACACCTTCTCGGAACGCCTCCTCCCAAAGTTTGCCCACCTGCGCGTGCAGCCAGCTTCATCCGCCCGCTCACAACAGCAGCAGGCACCCTCGTCGTCGTCGTCGCAGCAGCAGGCACTGGCAGCCATGTCCACGGCATCCAGTGCGTCCGACACAGCGACCACCCTCTCGCGCGCCACATCGTCAACAGCGCCAAAGGTCCCGTCATCGCCAGGGCCACGGCCAACAGGCGGGATGGTGCTGCGCAACGACAACCCTTGGTTCAACGCTGCTGCCCGCCAGAGCCTCGCCTCAAACCCACCGCGTACGTCCTCCGTCAAGGGCAAAGGCAAAGGCAAGGGCAAAGGCAAGGCTGCCACCATCCTTGTTGGGGCCCAGTACCCTGTCCTGCCTGGCCCTGGTGTTGGCGTCAACTACCAGCTGCGCCAGCGATCAGACTCGGCCACATCAACAACCAGCGCCGTCTCGTACCGCTCTGTCTCCCGTGAACCGTCAGCAACATCGGCTGCACAGCGCACGCGCGCGCGCCGCGCAAGCAGCTCTGTTGTACCTGGCGGCGGCGGCGGCAGCAGCAGCAGCGGTTTCAACGGCAATGGCGTCGCGACTGTCGGTGGTGGCGGCGGCAGCGGCAAGAAGCGCCAGCCCATGTCACCAACGCAGGCACGGCGCGCTGCTGCTGCTGCTGCTGCCCAGACAACACCAGGCAGCAGGCGAGGTGGTGAGGTCAGGACGAAGAAGGGTGGCGGTGGTGGCAGTAACGGCACGCAATTGCGGTCTGAGAGCAGCGGCGAGTGGCAGGTGGTGTCGCGCAAACTGCGACGCGGAACAATGGACGGAACACAACAGAAGCGCGGCAGCGCAGGGAGTGTGAACAGCAACACCAGCGGTGGCGGCGGTGGCGGTGGTGGTGGCTCGTCCCGTCGTGGACGTGGGCAGCAGGGGCAGCAGAAGCAGAAGGGTCAGGGTACAGCGCGGAGCAACAGCAGCAAGCCAGGGAGGCGGAAAAAGAGATAGCGACACTGATGGCAATCTGGCGTGATGGATGGTGCTTCGCAGGGGTGGTGTCGTGTCCGTTGTTACCATACTGTTCGCGATGTGAAGCAGTGCGTGAACGGTAACAAGTGTGCGTGCGTGAGCGTTACTTGTCGATAGCGGGTGGTGGTGATAAGACGAATTTCGTTTGCCATTTTGTTTGTTTGTTCACTTGTTTTAGAAGAAGAATAAGTGAGAGTGAAGTGAAGTGAAGTGACACGCAGCACATGTGTGTGTGTGTGTGTGTTGTGTAGGTTGTTGTGGTCGCTTTTCTTTTCAACCACGTGGCGTTCTGCTTGGCTCGTTGTTTTGGCTCGTTGTACTACCATATGCTTTCATTTCGACTTTTAGGTTCATTCTGTGTTTCGTTTGTGTGCGTGCGTGCGTGTGTGTGTACATGCAAGTGGTTTGACTGTTGGATGCGCAGAGTGCTGGGCGTTTAGTCGTCGGCTTTGTACACATGTGTGGTGACCACAAGAGCCAGCACTAGATAGAGAAAATCAAACCACAACAAGAAGCCAATGATGAACACACTGGCTTGTGGCGACTTTGCATAAGGCACAGGGCGAGGAAAGGAAATTGGACACACACACACACACACACACACACACACACACACACACAATATCACGCGAAAGCAATCATGGCCGTGGTGGTTGTGTGGTTGGGGCAGTAACGCAGTAGCAGCAGTGCGCACAAACAAGAGGCAGAGGAGGAGGAGGAGGAGGAGGAGGAGGACAGAAGGAGAAGGAGGAGAAGAACAATCAATGAAGGAGGAAAGCAGAACAAAGCAAAACAAAGCAAGCAAGGCAGTCAAAGCAGCAAAGCAAGCCAGCAGCAGAGAGGGAGCGAGCAAGCAAGGGGTCAGCATCAAGTTCAATACGTTGTGTTTTGAGAACACGGTCAACAGAGTCGGTTGCTTGGATGCATTATCATCAAGCCGGGTGTGCAAACACGCTCATGCGTTGCGGCAGCACCTGCGCATACGTGCGGTTTGTTTGCCTTGTGTGTGAGATGATCAATTCAACACGCGCCACAACAGCAATCAAAGACATTGATTGTTATCGGGAGCACATCACCACGCACACGCACAGCTGCAGACTGTGGTATGCAGACACACACGGACACAGGCACAGCACAGACAGACACAAGACAGAGAAGCACACGCACACACACTCACAGACACACGCACAACACACACACACACACACAGAGACACAGACACAGCACAGACATACGCACATTCACAGGCACACACGCACACTCACAGACACAAAACAGACAGACAAACACACGCACGACCGCGTCACCTTGACATGAACGGCGGCCGGGTCGACAGGATCGCCATCAATGTTGAATGGGATCCTCTCTGCTTTGCTGCCTTCAGCCGGCGTCATCCGAAATTCAGACGTGATCACGGTGCGCACGTTCTTGTGGTCGCCCAGGTACTTGCCCTTCTTCAAGCTCATGGCCGCGGCAACCGTGCCCGTGCGCGAGTGCGTGTCGTCGATGAGGGTGAGCCCAATCATGCCATCGTCTGGTTTGATACCGCGGCAGATGGCGTGCGCAACACCGAGCTTGTCCATGTTTGCCGCAATCATGTTCACAATCCCAATCTGAAGCGCGGGGAGGCAAGGCGGCGATGGGAGAGGGGAAGAGGGGTGGGGATGAGGAGAAGGCGGTGGCATTTGTGATTGCGGTGAGACAAGCTTCGTTTTTGGGAGCAAAGGGGTATCGTCGTAGTTCGGCAGGATCGTTGGAGCACGACGGTTTGAGCCAACGATCGCCATCAAGCAAGCAAGCAAGCAAGCAAGCAAGCAAGCAAGCAAGCAAACAAACAAACAAGCAAGCAGACGCTCACGTCTTCTGCGATCCATTCATTGGTCTTGGAGTCGAGCCATTCAAACTTGCACTTGCACACAATCGGCCAGTCCTGACACCACGTAGCATCGTTACGACCGTGGTGAGAAGCGGAGACACGAGGCAGCGGCTGCGCTGGTCTTACGCGCGCAGGAGTGTACACGCATGCAAGAACAAGTGAAACAAACACACAAAACGAGCAAGCGCAAACGCAAACGCAACACGGACGAGAGAGCAGCAACAAAGCAAACAAACACACAAACAAGCCAGCGAACAGAGCGAGAGGGGCGGCAGAAAGGCCACCTTGAGCAGCGTGAGGAAGCCTGCGACATCGTATCGGATTTTCTTCTGCCCAGGCATCCAGCGCAGGTGTTGCGCCCGGGCTGTGCACGCACCAGTCAAACCCCACCCAATACAGCTCTGTGACCAGGCAAAGCAAGCACACACAGCAAAACGTCGGTGAGTGGGTGGAGACATGCACGCGCGTGTCATCGCCCGCGTGAGTGCTTCGTACATCAGCACAGCTGCATCACAGCGTGCATGCGTGCGTGCGTGTGTTGTGCAGTGTCTTGCTCTGTTGTAGCACTCACCAGGCCGTAGATGTGCTCGTTGGTGGCGGGGTGGGATGGACTTCCGTACATATCATCCTCAGGAGCAGCAGTGCTGTTGCTGCCGCTATCGTTATTGGCATTGCTTCCGCGCGAGAGCACCACACCATCAGCCGCAAGTGTCACCACGTCAATGTCATCTGAGCTGTCATCATCGTCGCCATCATCGTCGCCGCCACCATCTTGGTTATCGTTGCTGTTGCCCACACTGGGTGGCTTCACTGTGCTCTTTGAGAGGTGCGTAACCATGCTTGGTTTGCGCTGCATGTGAATGTCAAGCACGTCCACACGCCTCGTGGCCCCCTTTGCAATGGCCAGAGCAGCGCGGCTGATCAGGCTGCGCCGTAGAACGCAGCCGTGGTGGTGGAACGTGGTGGTGGGTGGAAATGTAAAGGTGTGGAGGTGTGGAGGAAGTGTGTGGTGAGGCATGACCCAGAAATAAAAGATGTTGAACGGAGATATGACACGACGTGTCAGCCGGGAAAGTCCCGATGCCAGCACACGCACACGCACGCACGCACGCACACACACACACAGAGACACACACACACACACACATACACAGACACACGCACGCACACACACACACACACACACACACACACACACACACAGCCGGTCGGAAGGAAGGCGCGTACTCGTTTTCGGAGGGAGCAACGTTGTTGTCAAGTGCGTGCGCCATTGCATTCGCTGTTCCAACAGGAACAATTCCAATTGGAAACGTTTTTGCCCGCTCGTCAGCGCGGTTCATCAGGCCCGTCATCACCTGTTGTGTTCGTGAATGTCAGAGGGTGTGAGCGTGTATGTGTAAGTGTGTACGTGTGTGCGTGAGTGTGTGTGTGTGTGTGTGTGAATGAGTGTGGCTGTGCGCGCGCATATGTGTGTGTGTGAGTGTGCGTTTTATCATCAAGGAGGACACATCCTTCTTCTTTTGCGGCCGAGGAAACCAGAATGACAGCCACAGCAACGGTTGACTCGCGCCACACCCAACATGGCACGTTGCCGCACCTCCGACACCAGCCCGTCGCCGCCACACACAGCGAGCCCGTCCAAGGATTCCAGATCTGCAACGCGTGGAGGAGCAATGATGGCAATGGGTGGAATGAGCTTCCAAAACAAAATATTGTGTTTTTTTTTTTGGAGGGGGGGGGACGGCGCACGCCAGCAAGCACTCAAAGTGACAAACAAACACGCATGCACGCACGCATGTACTCTCGCACACATGCACGCACGCACGCAAGCGCTGGCATGCGACACACCAAGGTTGGAGACAAAGTGGGTGGCGTGGCCTGCGTATTCTGTTGGAATAATGTCAAAGTCAATCTGTCAATGCAGCACAACGCAGCAGAGACGAGGCAGCGTGAGAAGCGCGATACGCGCAATTAGTATACACACAGCGGGTTGTCATGTGTGTGTGCGTGTGTGTGTGCGTGTGTGTGTGCGCGTGCGTGTGCGTGTGCGTGCGTGCTTGCATGCGTGTGTGCATGTGTGCGTATGTGCGTGTGCTTGCATGCACCTTTGCGAGACGGAGAATGGGGCCGACGTGATGCTCCGCGATGATGCGACCTTGGCTGTGAACACATGCGCATGCGAGTGTGTCACGTGAGTCGTGTGCAAATGGCGAGTGCGTTAGGGAGCGCTGACGTAAAATATGCACCCATGGAAACAGGAAAAGATGCACACAGAGAAACAGGAGGTCATACACACACGCACACCCAAACACCGTGCGCATGCCACGCTCGCCCTCTCCACCCAAACGCTTGATATGCCCCCCCCTCTCCAGTATGCATACCCTGCGCCAGAGACTGGGTTGTAGAGGACGAGAATGCGGCGGTGGGCGGCCGTCGTTGCTGTTGACGACAGGCGCGACTCCCGCATCGCAAGCCGCTGCAGTGGTGGTGGTGTATGGGGGGGGGGAAGGGATGGCATGAGGGTGGCTCATGCAAGCTCAAAGACATGGGTACACACACCATCACACATACACATACACATACACATACACATACACATACACACGTCAACACGCCAGGTGTCGTGATGCGTGGTGCAAGGTGACGTACAGCTGCCTGTCTCAGGGTGCTCTTCTTTGCGCGGAGAAGCACACCTGCCTCCTCGTGCTGTTTAAACTCGTCGTCCACCTGCAGCGTGGCCACGGCAGTAAGAGAGGCAAAGGTGTGTGTATGTGTGAGAGAGAGAGAGAGAGAGAGAGAGAGAGAGAGTGTGTGTGTGTGTGTGTGTGTGTGTGTGTGTGTTGTGTGTGTGTGTGTGTGTGCGTGTGTGTGCGTTGCGGCCGGGGCAGCAACCTCACTCACAATACACACGCCACACATACGCACGCACACATACACGCCACACACACACACACACGCACACACGCACACACGCACACACGCACACACGTACCATGTGCTGAATCTCGTCAGTGAGGCCGTCCTGTGCGCTACCGCCCTCGTCGCTGGTGGTGGCGGATGTGGTGGTGGCGGTGGACGGGGTGCGGGCACGACTTGGCGACGGCGAAACAGAGATGACGCTCATGCGCTCGTCAGCGTCGTCGCCGTCCTCCCCAGCCTGCCCAGTAGGGGTGTTGTGTGTGTGTGTGCGTGTGTGCGTGTGTGTGTGTGTGTGTGTGTGTGTGTGTGTGTGCGAGTGTGTGTGTGTGTGTGTGGCAATGGTGGCAATGGTGGTTGACGTGTGAGTTTGACACACATGCACGCACACACACACACACACGCACGCGCGCACGCACGTACGCACATGCACGTCGTTGGCCATGTAGACACAGTCAGCAGTGCCTGCTGTTGGCTTATGCGAGCGTTTACCTGTGGCATGGAGCTGAAGGCAAGGCTGTAGAAGAGGCAGGCGCCCTCAAGCTGCGCACACAAACCAGAGAGATGTTGGTCCGCAGTCAGGACAGCGGCATCAGCGGCAGATGGAAAGACAAAACGTCGCGCTGCTCAGGCAGTGCACACATACACATCAAATCACACACGCATGCACACACAAGAATAAGCAGACACTTAACACCCCCCCTCCAAGCGAGCAGCAGCACCTGGTTGACCCAGGTCTGGGCCTCCTGCGGCGTATCACAGACGAGCCAGAACTTTCGCTTTGCCGTGACAATCTCAAAGCACGCGTCCGGCTGGGCGGATTTAGGCCGGCTGCTGCTGCTCGCCCACGCACACTGCACAGCGTGCGTGCGTGCGTGTGTGTGTGTGTGATTGGGAGCAACAGAGGTGCAGTGTGTATGTAGGTGGCGACTTGCTTGTGCGTATATACGTGCTTGTGCTTGTGTGTGTGTGTGTGTGTGTGTGTGTGTGTGTGTGTGTGTGTGCGAGCGAGCAAGTGTGTCCGAACCTCCTCTGGGGGCTTAATCTCCTGAATGTGGCGCACGTGCAAGCTGCCGAGCGGCTGGTCGAGCGAGGACTGGTCCTTTGCGTACAGCAACATGCCCTGCGCCGTCAGAATGAAGAACCGCCGCCGCCAGTTGCGGATCTGCAATCGCGTACGCACGCACGGTGTTGCGTGCCATGAGCGAGTGACTGATGGAAGACAAGCTGTGTGGAGTTCACGACTTCAACTCTATGAACTACTTCAACTACATCAAAAAAAAAAAAACACACACACACACACACACACACACACACACACACACACACACACACACACACACACACACACGCACGCACACACGCACACGCACACACGTGGGGTTTCGGCTTACCCTGCCGCCCATCTTGGTGATCCATCCAAAGTGCAGCGCTGCGTCAAGCAGGTCCTTGCCCGCCGCTAAAGATGCGCGCGTAAGATTCCACATGTGCAGCCAGGGTGGAAAGGGTACACGTTACAGAGAGTGACAACACGTGTGAATCGGTGAGTGGGCGATGACGCAATTAGAGCACACACACACACACACACACACACACACACACACACACACGCATGCATGCACGCACAGTGGGCCTCGGAGCCATCGATGGTCGTTCGTCGTTGTTGCCGTGCATGCTTCCGCACCCTCATGAGCTGAATCATCGCAGCGCACCAAGCCACACAGCATCGCGGTGAGCACAGTGTGGTGGGCCGTGGGCCGTTCCATGCACGTGTTACTGCCACTGCTGTTGTGAACAAACAAGAACACAACAAGACCGACGGGGGCAAAGCGGGCAGTGGTGTGTGGGTAACACACCTGCTCCAGCCATGGGATGTCGTCGCCCTTTGCCACCAGGTAGTACGTTCGCTTCGGCGTCTCAAGTTCAATACACCTGGCGATAACAGCGACACAGAGTCAAGGTGACCGGACGTTCTTGTCTCGTTATGCAACAACCATGGCAATCGTGCGCACACGATAACCACGTCATGCAAACACGGACACGGGTCCACCCGCGCGCAACACACGCACACGGACACGAACACGCATGTGCACACTACACACGACACACAAACTACACACTACACACTACACACACACACACTACACAACACACACACACTACACAACACACACACACGGACACACACGGACACACACACACACACGGGGCACACAATACATCAACCGAAATACACAATACACCAAACGCACACCTTCATTGACACACGGACACGCAGCACACGCACAAAGCTTCCACGCAGCAACACCAATGCTACCTTGCCATCATTGGGTCAACGGACTGCGGTGGGATGACGCTCTTGGCAGCCCATTCCTCCAGTTTGCTCTCACGGATGTTGGTGACTTCCGTCAGGTCAATGACGTCCAGAAGCGTGCGCGAAGGAGGGTTGCCTTTGTAGTACTGGAGCAAGCCTCTGGCGTCCAGCACAAACCATCTGTTCTTCCACGTCTTCACCTGCAAGCCAGGCAATCGACGGCCACCGCGTATCGTCGTGAGCGCGCACAACCAGCAACAGTGGACAACAACCACAAACACGGACACTGGACCACACACTCATCGATTCACTCCAACAACAACAGCCAACGACCCTGTCACTTCCTCTTCCTCTCTTCCTCTCCTCCTCCTCTCCCACTTGGATCCAAGCCGCATCGGTTTTCACGCACGTTTCCGCCACGCTTCATGAGTGGCCCCTCGCACACCACGGTCTCAAACCGAGCGCTTGGGGTGCTCATGGTTGCTGGAGTGGGGTTG